GCCTTGACGTCCCTCACAAGGTCCAGGTAGGGCATCCCCGGCTTCACCATCAGCATGTCCGCTCCCTCACGCACGTCCCGGTCCTGTGAGGGCGACACGCCACCCCGCAGCTTGGGACCAGAACGTTCTCCAGCAAGCCCACGGTTGGTTTGCCTCAGAAGTTTAGGAGTGGCCTAGATGACTTTTAAAGGTCCCTTTCAAGCCAAATCGTTCTATGATTCTCAGTTTTGACCTTGTGGTTGGATTTCCCAGAAGGGATCACAGAAGGGTTTGGTGAGTCCCCACAGGGAGACCCCAGAGGTGGGCTGTGATGGGCAGATCCAATGCTCCCCTCACCCCTCAGGGGGACCCCAGAGGTGGGCTGTGATGGAGGGATCCAACGCTCCCCTCAGCCCACACATAGCACCCAGGGAAGGACAGTGCCCACGTGTCCCTGGGCCTGACACCCCAAACCTCAGCAGGGTATGGGGTCACTAACTCCACAGCTCCCAGTGCACAGCCCCTTGGCCCACGCTGGGGACCAGCTCTGGCAGGTTGATGGCCCTCACGTTTCTCTTGCTTGTGGAAGACCCTTGACCATTTTGGCTGGTGTGCCTCCTACCCCCTTTTGACTCCCAGCACCCCTGACCTTGCTCCCCCTGAGCCCTGCTGCACTGCTGGGTGCCAAGGCTCGCTGCCCAGGTGCCCCGTGAGGGTTTTCCAGTCCCCACAGCCACAAAGCCACAGCCCCCAGCTCACTCACCACGGCGCGTCTCTTGCTTGTGGAAGACCCTTGACCATTTTGGCTGGTGTGCCTCCTACCCCCTTTTGACTCCCAGCACCCCTGACCTTGCTCCCCCTGAGCCCTGCTGCACTGCTGGGTGCCAAGGCTCGCTGCCCAGGTGCCCCGTGAGGGTTTTCCAGTCCCCACAGCCACAAAGCCACAGCCCCCAGCTCACTCACCACGGCGCGCATGGCCAGGCCCCGCGCGCCCGGCGGGAGGTCCCGAAGGCAGGTTTGGACTGTGCAGCATCCCTGGCGATGGGAAAGGCAGAGGGCAGGGGATGAGGATCAGCATGGCTGCCGTCAGATGAGGGCAAGTGCCTGAGCCATCAGGGCCAGGAAGAGTCGGGGCTGTCCTGCCCTGGCAGGACCACTCTGGGAAGCCCGACTGGCTCAGGCTGTCCCTGGGAGCTGTGCTCCAACACCCACTGCCCTCCCCATGCCCGCAGTCTGCGGTACAATCGTGTCAGACGTTTTCCTTCTGCTCTTATTTCTGAGACAGGTGCCTCTGGGACACCCCACCTTGGGATGAGCTCGACTGGCTGAGCTGAGGAGCTGAGGCTTCTCCCTAAAGACCCTCCTCACGGCAGCGCCGGCTCCTGCGTCTCCCTGCTTGCTGCTCCCGCTCTGCCTGCCTGGCCACCAGCACCCAGGAGAGGCAGGGGAAGGGCTGGGACAGAAGATCACCCATTTGGGAAGGTAATCTTCCCATTTGTCTCCCGTTTCCTCTGGGAAGGAGGAGAGCACTCCAAAGTGACCAGCATGGTCCCAGCTGCAGCCCAGGCTCTGGCTCAGCCCCGTTTCCAAATAACTCTCCAGGGATACACGTCCCAGCTGAGGGACAGACCCACCTGAAGGGACCATAGAAGCACGAGGCAAACTTGGCGCTGTAGCTCATCACCGAGACCTGCAGAGAGTGGAGCTGTGAGCACCAGGAGCTTGGAGCTGCCTCCTGGCACCGGGCAGTAGCGATTCCCTCCCGCGGCTGTTGCATACTCTGCCCCACA